CTTTTGCGTAAAACTAAAATTCATGCCAATATTTTTCCATGATTTATAATAATTGGAGTAATGCAAATGCATATTTTCTAAAAAAAGTCATTTTTAGTGAAATTTTGCCGGGAATGGGGCTTTAAAATACACATGGGTATTCCGACAAAACAAGAGACAATTAGCAGAGTATTATGAAGAATCAAATTTTAGTGGCTCATCTTGAAGAAAAATTTGTTGACAGTCTTTGCTTGTATTTTAGTAATGGAAATAAAATATAGGATAGTTTTAATACCAAATAAAATAAGGTAAAATACAAATGATATGAGAATAAATCTTTTCATGCTAAATATCTTTTTGAACCATGATTTGGAGGGTGATATTTGTATTGAATTGTTTTATCTCATTTATTTCAATTTCAGCTTGTTAAAGACAGGCTCTGGAGAAGAAAAAATATATGTTGTGGATATGAATATTCTAAGACATTGAAGGGATGTTTGAAGAAATAATCGGGAACAGTTTATTAAGAAATTTGTATAATGTACAGTATATACACATTCTGGAAAAATGGGTGAAACATTCCCTTTGACAATGTTAATAATACGGTTATTTTAAATCATTTTTAAAACTAAATCAACTTTAATTTGAAATCCATGTGCAAAGTCCATGGTTTTATTTTTTAACATTCAATGTAAACTCCCAATACAATAATTCTTTCAAGATTTATTTCAGATAATAAACTGTTGTCTTCAAGGAATACTAAATAACATTACTACTACAGTGTACTATCTACTGTAAACGTTGGACAAATCACTTATTTTGTTTCATCAATACAATATATTTACAGTAAACAGACCTTTCTAATAAGCCCCATCCCTTGGGTATTGTTGGCTAAGTTCTGACAAAACAATAGTGTTAAAAGATACGCAAACACATGCATTTGTGGAAACCGCATTTGTGGGACAACGCATATCCTTGTTGTTAAAAAAAAAAGTTGCTGATTTTAACCATGGATGTATATAGTAATTTAACGTTGGGTATGTTGGTCACGGTGCAAAGACTATACTCCTAAAGTTGGGGTTTAATCTTTGGAATAAATGTATCTTTTTTTCTCTAATCTTCATTTAAGTTGTGATGATAGTCAAGCCTTGTTAGTTTTGGACTATTTGGAATATATTTTATTCTCTTGTTTCTTACACTTGTCATTCGAGGCATATTCATTATGAGATCATGTTACATCTTAAATAGTTACATTTTTTCTAGTTACTAAGTTGATCTTGGTAACCATGGTAATAATATCTGAATTCAGAATACTTTCTTATTGACTAATGGACTGAAATGGAAGATCAAAATATAAGAATCTATTGTTAATAAAGTAATTTATGTCACAAAAGGATGAATCTTGAATTATGGAGTCCATTATCCAATCCAAGTAAAATTATTATACAAATTCCTATTCTAACTGCTATTTTATATTACTATTAGATAATTATATTGAAAAATTGTTATGAAAAGATTGGTTTATGATGTCATAAAACCACATTTTCCTTTTTAATTCATGCCTGGCTTGAATTCTAGTCTGAAAGAGGCTTAAATTACACAAATCAATGGTGATGTTAGTAGTCAATGAGTAGATACTTACCTGGATAAACCGACAAATTGCCTATTCTTTCTCACACATGAGAACACCCCTTGAAAAATAATAAAGTCGACTCCTGGCACCAAGCTCAAATGGCCCCGCCACCATGCAACTTCCTCCCTTTTTAGGAGTGATGGACTGCTTGTCCCATACTGTGCTATATTATGCATCACACCTAAAATATTAACTGGCAAGGACTAAAGTATTATTCACTTTTGAGATGGCAAAGTTACACCATACTATGCTTTAAATACCACCTAATGCCGTTTCAATGGAAGCCTGTCCACTGGTGGTGAACAAAATACAACCCAGAGGCAGATCCAGGATTTGATAGAGGGAGGTTCAAAATGTTTTCAAAAAACCTAAAAAGAAAGGGAGCCCTCCCCTGGGAAAATGTTGATTCCTAGATGACCAGAAATGAGCTTTCTCGACTTCTGGACTTTTAATTTCTTCGAAATTCAAGGTCCCCCCCCCCCACTCCCGCCACAGGTTAAAATAATAGTAAAACAAACTAAACACCTGAATTTAATACCAAGGGGTAGAATTTTATGCTTCGATGCAATGAGATACATTTATCAAAGCATCTACACAAACTGAATTAACAGCAGATTCCATAGTGCAGAAGTTAAAATAATAGTAGAACAAAATAAACACTTGAGTGTCGAACTTATATAATTGATACAATAACAAATGGCCCATATCATTTATCCCATGTATTAGTCCAAAAGCATAAAATGATATTGATAGCGAACAGAAGGTAGGTCGCCCTACCTCCCCTTTTAACATTCATTAAACTATGACCAAAGTCAGCCATGTCGAAAGGCCTTTACCAAATTGCTTATTATATTCAGTTCTGTATAATAGCTAAGGCACTGTATTGAATATCAGTCAACAAATGAAGCTTAAATTAAGAAAAGAATTGATTAAGTAATTAACCATTGAAAATAACAATGTAAACCTTTGTAATAATGTTCGATGAAATATGGTATGAAACTTAATCCTATTCATTAATTCTGTTATTGATGGAAGTCATGCATTAAGATAAGACAAACATCGGAATTAAATAACAATATTTCCCACTCCTATAAACAAAACTTTACTTATTTGAACTGTTAATTTCCTCTAAATTCTAGCACTTTACAAACCTAACTAGAGATTTGGTCGATTTGAGTGGCAGTGTGGTAAGGCAGGGATGCTGCTAACTGTAGCCTTATCATTAGCACTTTTTTGAGCCATTGCTCAATTCCTTCTTGATCATGACTTAAAAGGGAGGTCCGATGTTCACATTTGGCTCATGTGCACTTTAACAAACCCATTGCCTCTTTCGGAAGAGTAGGGGGTTAGCCTTATGCTATGGTTAAATTCAGTAAATATCGTTGTAGAATGATGTGAACTATAAGCGCCTCTTTACCTTTGCTTCTATTCGTCATGTACAGTAGTAAAATACATTGAGCTACTATATAGTCAACACTGTTTCCTTTTGCCTACTGCCTTAACAACTCGCCATCCACTGGAATAGTATAATCATTTATTTTATTATATTTATTCTCAACACAATGACATGTTATTGATTCAAAGAGTTTTTATTAGTCCACACTGTATATAAAAAATTAGTTTACATGGCAGATAAAACTAAATTAAATTTAAATAATACAAATTTTTTAAAACAGAGTTTTAAAAAAATGACAACAATTTCTTTCAAATTGTTTTATGATCGAATAAACTATGTGCTGCCAGGTCATGTGATTAATTCCCAATTGATGGAGTTTTATTTATGTTAAAACTACAGTATGTTCTTTTTTTATTGATAGAAGAAATATAACCTGGAATGTTTTGAATGGGAAATCTGTCTAGAATACAAAAAGAGGATATATAACCAGAGACAACAGGAAATCCTGTTAAAAACCAGTCTATGATTTATTACTACAAACACAAGACCCTAATAGAGGTTGCAGTTCCAGTATGATGATAAAATACACAGTTAGAGTTAAGTTGTTTTTTTTTTCTATATCTCCTATGTATTTTTGTGTAGCTATCCGTACTCATTTTAATTTTTTTTCCTCTCGATTACTTCGTCCTTTTGTCTCTGTACCATCTCTGTACTTATTTTTCTCTTCTTCTGTCAACACTTGACAAGATATTATTTAAAATCTTGTCTGGTAATTGTTTCTTCCTTTACACTTTAATTTTAAGAAAATTTACGAAAAAACTTAATTTTCATATCTGTTGAAAAACAATTAGCCAAGTCATTGCAAAATGTCTGCAGCAGAGCTACGAAAGTTTAGATTTTGAAACACCCAGGTTACACGCTAACGACATTCCGTATTTAACTAAAGATGTACAGTAACATATTTATATTTATGTTTATATTTATAGTTTAAAATTGTTTCCTAAATTCAACTTATACTATCCTTACCTTAGTGTAGGCCTAATTTAAATAGAATGGTCTGTGTCGCTACAGCCATATATAAATTAGACCAAGCCAAGACTCTAGGCGTATACCACTTACTATACAGTAGGCCTAACATACAAATTTCCAGACATACACAACACAAAATTTAAAAGAGCCTAAGGCCTATGCCCTAGCTAGACAGTCCCTGGCCTATTTTCAATTCTGAATAAAAAAAAAAACCGTCTTGTTTTAAATAACCTCTCAAGAATATACAGCCTCTTTCTGAGAACTTTTAATTTACTTTATTATGACCAGTTGTTTGAGCACAGAATTCTATATAATCTGCCTCTAGACTAAACGCCTCTAGGCCAGACATAATACCTAGGTTTCGGTGGTGGTGGTGGAGGAGGAGTAGGAAATATCCTTTGATTTGATGGATCACCAACCTACCCTCTGCTATATAAATAAATACAGACCTAGGACTCGGAGGCTAGACCTAGCGCCTAGGCTAGGCTATCACAACGTTACTCATTTGAAAACACTACTTAAACATTACTTACAAAGAATGTATCATGAAATTATAGTCAGTTGAATAAGTAGCTCCATGGAAGGTGTTTGGAGGGCAAAACAAAGAGAAGTAAGCCTACTTCCTTTTATAACTTCATTCATCGTTCGCTCAACATCCCAACTCTCCAGAAGTTATCACGCGTGACGAGCTACCGGCTAGCCTCCTCTCTGCGCGATAGCCTGACTCGTGGAGCTACGGTGTACTGTTTACTTTCTTCCTCAGAGTAAATAAAAGTGCGCCCTCTGTTTCAATGTTATGAAAATAAATACGGTACTGTACTGCAACAGTCACAGTCCTGCATATTATTTAATTATTAAATAATCAATTAAATCGTAGTATATATTATGCTGTACTGTATTATATAGTATAAATCAACCTATTCTTTCTTTTCAGTAAGAACACTGTAAACGGTTCTAATTAAATCATGCACTATATACATTACTTAATATATACTGATAAAATACAGTACTGTTTATTGTTTGTGTAGATTAATTCCCAGTCAAGACCGCCAGCCAAAATAATCGACAAAACTCCTTGAAATTCAAATGAATTGCTCATTGAAAAATATTTATATACATTCTCAATTTTCGATAGTCGCATCGAGAAAAGTTTTAAATGATTTTTATTCATGTTTGCTGACAGAAATTTAATGTATATATATATATATATATATATATAT